TCGGGCGCCTCCCCGGCCCCGCCTAGCCAGACGGGCCCACCTGCTAGGCCTGGCCTGGCCAGGACCCTCCGTGGATCCGGGCAGCACCGGCCTGGGCAGGTGTGTCTCCCAGGCAGGTGCCGAGGGCTCGGCGTCAGCCCGGGCTGGGGGCGGGGAGCCAGGGACATCGGGAGTGTGGGGGAGGGCCCCCGGGGGGTGAGTCCCCGGCGTCCTGACTTGAGCGCCCCTTCCACCACCCCCCCGTTGTGGTGTGTAGGCCAGGTGGATTTCAGAAAAGGGACGGGCGGTGTTTTGAGGGAGGGTCGATGTCCCTCCCTCCCCGGTAACTTTGACCCCCAGTTGATGAGGAGGAAGAGGCTTAGACACAACCTGGAGAAGGAGGCGTAGACATAACCCATTGTTTCCCCATCTTGTGAGCTGACGCCTTCCTCTCTCCTGGGGCCCCCAGCCCAGCCAGGCCCCAGCTGGGGTCTGGCGCCAGCCTCTCCTCTGACCAAGGGGTCGCTGGCTCCCAGGCCCTCAGGTGGGCAGGGACCCCCTGGGATCTCTAATGGCATCATCAAGCCCAGAAACCTCCCCTGAGGCCCTGAGCAAGCCAGGAGGCTAGAGAGGGCCAGACAGAGGAGGCCACGCCTGAAGACTCCAGGGCTTTGGGCTCTAATAGCACTGCAAACTGACAGCCGAGGTCTGAGACTCTACCTGGCATGACACATGATGCCTCCATGCAAACACGTCTTCCTACCTGCAGGCCTCTCTGCAGTGGAAGAGCATTGGCTTAGAGGGACCTGGGTTCAAAGCCTAGCTTTGCCACTTTCGAGCTACAAGACCCAGGCGGACTTTTGTCCTCTCTGGGTCCCATCTATTAAGTGGGCTAATTAACATTGATTCCTGCCTGGAAAGGAGACCACGTAAATCATGTTGTACATATGTTGTACATCAAGTGTTCAACAAGTGTCAACCCTCCAGGCTAGCCGGCATCGCTATACCTCGTTACTATCCAAAGCATCTTCCCAGTGCCAGCTCACTTAACTCTCGTGACCACCCTGAGAGAGGGGAGCGGACTGCCCATTTTACAGATGAGGCGATTGTGATTAAGGAAGGCAGATGGCTTGCCTGAGGACTCAGAGACAGTCAGAGGCTGAGGCTGAACCGGGACCCAGGTTGTGTGTTCAGTACACTCGACTCCAGGCCCAGTGGGCAGCGCTGCCTCCCCACACCTGCTTCCTCAGTTGTCAAGGATGCTTTAGTGAGAGGAGCTGGTGAGGTGGTCACCAGCCAGTGAGTGTGTGGCCAGCCCTGGGCCAGGTGGGCAGAGGGTGGCAGAGGGCCAAAAGGCAGAGGCGTGGGCAGGCCATCCAGGACACCGTGGCCTGGCTGTGGAGAAAAGGCCAGCTCGTGGGAATAATAAGGGTCAGTGTCTCAGGCCCTGCAAGGCCTGCCTGGCAGCTCCAGCGGCCCCCTCTGCCCTTTCTCCCGGCCTGCCTCTCGCAGCCCTTGACCTAGCTCTATCGAACCCTGGGCGGGTAGCGCTGTCTTGTGGCTCTGGTGGGATCATGGTTCGACTGGCCTGGGTCTGAATCCTGGCTGGGCCTTCCTAGCTGTGAGCCCTGAGACTGGGCACTTAACTCCTCTCAGCCTCCCAGATGCTGGCTTTTCCTCCTGCTCAGGATGGTCCTAAGACTCGGATGAGACAACACGTGATGAGTGTTTCAAGGGCTGTGGAGAACTGCGTGCAGGTGGGGCTGTGTGTGCATGTGTCCAACGTGGGTGTTCAATGATGCCTAATTGGTTTATTATTTAATTCAGGATAAAATCAGGTGCAGTGCACAATGTCAGAGAATAACAGTGGTACACTCTGGCGTCTGGGAGGCGCTCAATTTGCCCGGCACCATTCTCAGAGCTTCCTGTGTACAGGAGCATTTACTCCCCACAATGACCATGTTTGCAAAGTGTTATCATCCACACT